ATAGAAATATGTGGCTAAATATAAAACTTTCTCTTCTAGATTTCTTTAAAAACATAAGATTATTCAAAGTACTAGATATTTTACTGTTTCTGGGTTTGTAACTTTTGTAGGCATAATGATACATATATTCTATGTAGCAAAAACAGCACAGTGACAGAAAGTGGAAATGTTCTACTTGTGAAACATATTAGATTTGACTTGAATTAAGTCAGTATTACCCTGAAGGAGAATTTGACAGGTTATAGACGTATGTACATGCACACGCAGACACAAACATACAACTAAACCTCAAAAACTTGCTTTCAAAAGCAACAGAAGAATTTAAATGGTATACTACAGGGTTTTTTTGTATTAATCCCAGCCAAAAAAACAAAAAACAAAAAAACTCACCATATAGGCGAAACAAAGGAACCAAAAAGCATGGCAGACAGAAATCTAAGCATATCAATAATTACATTAAATTTTACTGAACTAAAGCCACCAATCAATAGGCAGAAATAGATAGGATTAAAAGTATATTGTGTGTATAGGAGAAATACTTAGTCTTTAAAATACAATAGAATGAAAGCAACAGTATGGGGAAAAACACACAAAGCAAACAATAACCATAAGAGATCTGGAAAAGGCTACATCAAAATATAATTTAATATGAGGAATGTCACAAGACACTGAAAAGAACATTTCATAATGGCAAAATGGTTCATTTATCAGAAGATATACTATTTACAAACATAGTTACATATAACCAAACAGCCAGAAAATGTGAAACAAGTACTGATAAAATGGAAAGGAGAAAAGACTACTCAGAAGGGACATTTGGATTGTTCAAGATTTCTTTCTCATTACTTGATAATGTGACAATAAATCAGAAATGCCATGGAATATTTGAGCCACACTGTCTACCAACTAGGAGAGCACAAAGAAAAGCACAAGATTCACCCATCTAGTCATCATCATCATCATAATCACCATTCACACAAACACTCTCACTCACAGATGCCAGCTGGTACTGTGAACAAACGTCCAGGTGATCCAAAACATAGCAGTCAGACAAGCACCTTAGCACACAAAACCTATAGCTTGTCAAGTTCTTTCTCCTCTTCAAGCTCTACTCATAAAAGGGGCCTCTCTGAAGAGACTGGAGGGCAGTATTTGATCATCCAGCGACCACAGTGAAATTAAATTAGAAATCCATAGCAGAAGGAAATCTAGAAAATCCCCATATAGTTGGAAATTAAACATTGTTTCTAGGGGGCTGGCAAAGTGGCTCAGGTGGTAGAACATCTGCCTAGCAAGCATGGAGCCCTGAGTTCAAACCCCAGTACCACAAAAAAACAAAACAAAAACAAAAAACTAAAAAAACCAAACAAAACATATTTCTAAACCACTAATGGATCAAAGAAGAAATCACCAAAGATATGAGAGGACAGTTTCTACCACGTGAACATAAATCACGACATATTGAAATTGGTAGAATGTAGGTAAAACTATATAGAAGGAAACTGATGCTTTAAAAGATTAGAAAGGGAGAAAGATTTAAAATCAATAATTTAAAAAATTAGTAACAAAGCTCTTACCTTAAGAAAGTGGAAAAAGAAGAGCCAAAGTAAGCGGAATGAGGGAAATAATAAAAGGTCACTGAAGAAATCAGTGAAAACAGTGATGAACCTGTTGAAACTGTACCAGGAATGGGGGAGGGGGATAAAGGAGAATGATGGAGGGATGAATTCAACTATGATATGTTGTAAGAACTTTGGTAAATGTCACAATGTACCACCAGTACAATAATAATAAAAAAAATTTAAAACAAGAAACCAGTGAGCCAGGTGTGGTGGCACAGGCCTGTAATCTCAGTACTCAGGAAGCTGAGACAGGAGGATCACAAATTCAAGGCCAGCCTGGGCTACCAGGGTTACAAAGCAAAAACGAAACCAAAAAGAATGACATGTATGTAAGTGGAGGGGGCCATTTGGGGGTGGAAAGAGAAGGGGTGGGGGAGGTATGATTAAAGTACTTCATATACATATTTGAAAACAGAATAATGAAACCCGTTAAAATTGCCTAAAATGGTGGGGGGAGGATAAGAAAGAGTAACAGGGTGAATTTGTACAATTAAAAGACATTAAATTTTTTTTTAAAAAAAGAAAAATAGAGAAAATAAGTGAAACATAATTGATTCTTCGGTCTTTGGAAGGATTTGTGAAATTGATACAATTTTAGCAAAATAACCAAGAAAAAAAGATGACAAAAGTTAACCAAAATTCCAAATAAAGTGGAAACACTTTGCCCCTGTACAAAACAAATCTATCCTAATAAACATGGGGGAAAAGTGGAAACACTCTGAACCCTACATAAAGTGAAAGGATTATATCAACAATTTGACAGCTTATATAAAATGGGCAAATTTTTAGATAGAAATGATAAAAGTGTACTCAAGAAGAAATATAAAATATGAGTATCTACAGCAAGTAAAGGCAGTAATTATTTAAAACTTTTTCCTACAAAGGACAGTTCAGACCTAGATGGCTTTCCTGGCAAATCCTATCAACATTTAAGGAATTAGTAATTATCAATCCAACACAAGCCTTCTAAAAGTACAAAAAATGGGCTGAATGTGTGGCTCAAGTGGTAGAATGCCTGCCTGGCAAGCACAAACTCCAGAAAAGTAGAAGTAGACACTTTTCAGCATTTTTTTTTTAAACCCTGATGCTAACAAAGATATCATAAAAAAACTACAGACGAATCCCATTCATGAATATAAATGCTAAAATTCTTATAACAGTGGCAAATTGTATCCAGTAACGTATAGAATGAATTATACATTATGACCAATTGAGATTTTTCCAGGAACGCATGTTAAACATCTGAATATCAATTAATGTTCATTAATAGAATAAAACAGCGTTCAGTAAACTAAGACTCATGGCATGCCTTTTGTTTTTATAAATTAAGTTTTACTGACACACAGTCAAGCCTATTCATTTACAGATTGTCTTAGGATTGCTTTCATGATACAAAAGCATAGTTGACTGGTTACATCAGAGAATCGTATGTCTCACAAAGTAAAAGAAAAATTACCATATAGTCCTCCCAAAAATTTTGCCGACCCTATCAGGAGACAGCCATATGATCATCTCAACGGATGCAGAAAAGCATTCTATAAGATCAAACAACATTGCATGATAAAGCTCTCATTAAAGCAAGAATAGAAGGAAGTTTCCCGAATTTGATGAAAGACAGCAACAAAAACTTCCAACTAACAACAAGCTTAAAGGGAATGACTGAATGCTTTCTCCCTAGGCTTTGGATACAAAGCAAGGATGTCCACACTCAATCACTTTTCAAAATTAAGCCAGAAGTTCCAGCAAGAAAGAAAACAGAGCACAAAAGTCAATATACATCCAACTTGGGATGCTAGAAATGAACCAGCTGGAAATGAAATAATAGCATCAAAAGAATAAAGTATCAGGAAATAAATTTAATAAAGTGCAGAATTGTACACTGAAAATTACCAAGCATTGTCCCCCAAAGTTAAATAACTAAAAGAATGTAGATATGTCCCATGTTTGGATCAGAAGATTCAATGTTATTAAGATGTCATTTTTTTCCCAAAATTTACACACAGATTCAATGCAATTTTTATCTAAATTGTCAGGTTTTTTAAACTGACAAAATAATTCTAAAATTTGTATTTAAAATTTTATGGATGGAGAATAAAGTTCAAGGACTTAACCTTATTTCAAAAGTTACAGTAAAGATACAATTACCAAGACTAGTATTGACAGAAAGATAGACATATGCAATAAAGGAAAATAGCTCAGCTGTAAACCCAAGCACACATTGTGAAGCGATTTTCAACAATGTAGATCGTGTGTAGAATAACAGCATAAATACGTAAGCACAAACTGAGGTGTTTTAAAGGAGGTGATGGAGTGCACCATCTGACCTGATCTTCAGGTTCAGACTTTTCGTTGCACACGAGGAAGCTGAGGTGCAAGCTGAGAGCGGAGAGCGGTTCAGGAGGGAGCCGCACCTCTGGGCGTGTTAAAGGGCCCTGCGGCAGAAGAAGTGGGAGCGCGCAGGGCCAGGCGCGGAGTGGTGAGTATCAGGAGAGGCCGAGTTCATGCCATTCGGGGACTTACAGGCTTTGCCAAGGCTTTACATCTTTATCACGTGGCCAGTGGGGCGCCATGGTAAGATTTGGGAAAATGGTGTGGCAGGACGAAATCCGGTCTTCGAAGAGTACAGGCAGCTGGAAGGCAGCAGGACGGGTGGAAAGCAAGGCGCCTCTGTGAGACTTCGGCGGCATCCAGGAGAAGCTTCCAGCAGACATAATGGTGGAGTGCCAAAAGATGAGTTTGGGACGTACTTTAGAAGGACGGTCCAGCACGGGACCTGGTGATTAATTTACCTAGCAGAGTGACCACAGCAAGCCAAATCCCGTCCCAGCGGGGTAAGTAATGGGGTTAATTGAGACGCTGCAGCAGTTCTCCACCCGCCCTTGCATCCGCCGCTGAGGGATCCTTAGAGCCCCTCAAAGCGCAGCCAACGAAGTCATGGCCTCCAGCCCGAGGAAAGAGGCCCTCTACTTCAGCGCTGGAGGTCAGCGGCGTGGAACCTCAGTGTTTCCCGGGCAACGCCATTGTCAGCGCCGCGGCGGGCCGGGAGAGAACTCCGGAAGAGAGAGGAGTCAGCGGGGGGGAAAATGGAGAACACGTGCTGCTGCACGGGCTATCGCGGCTGATTGGAGAGTTCTGCACGAGGCGAGAGTGGAGGGTGGGAGGGGCCGAAGGACGCGCCTGTGATTGGCGGGCCGGGGACACCAGGACGCTCATGATTGGACGAGGCTGAGCTGAAGGACTGCATTTTTGAACCGCGTAGGGTTCTGGGTAGCAAAGGTCTTGGAAGGGTCTTAACCGAAAGGGGGAGGGGGAAGGTCGCCAACAAACGGCTGAGCTCATAATCCGGGCCGCGACCTGGCTGGGGCGCCCCCTCCCCCCATGGAGAGGGCCAGGCCGGAGCTGCCGCCTCAGCCTCGCCGACTGCCACGGGCGACCCCACCGCTCCGGTTGCGCCCTCCACCGCCCCCGCTGCCGGTCGAGGGCACCTGTTTTCACTCAGCGGCCGCCGAACCCCCTCCGTCGCCACCTGCCCCGTGCGCGGCGGCCATTGCGACGGTGGCCTCGTCGACGCGCGGGGAGGACCCGGCCTCGGGCGTGCAGCCCGCCGCACGACGGCTGCTGCAGGTGAAGCAGGAGCAGGTGCCGCCGTCGGGGCCACCGCCGCCTCAAGCCCAGGACGAGGACGCCGGAGCCTCGCCCGCGCAGGCGCAGATGCTGCAGCTGCGTCCCGAGCTGCTGCTGTTGCCGCCCGCGGCCGAGGGCGCCCCCTGCAGGCCGGAGTTGCGCCCGGTGCAGCCTCGGGTGCTGCAGGTCAAAGCCGAGAAGCCGGATTTGGGGTCCGCCTTAGAGCCGTCGCTGGGACCTCGGAGGGCCGTTGAGGCTGGTGCTAGAGTCGCCAGGGCAGACGATCCCGGGATGGCTGTCGACGGCCACCGGGGGGACGAAAAGAAGGGCCAGCCGGAGGCAGAGGAGGTCACGAGGGATGCAGCGAAAGGCGGGGAAGGCAGGAGCCTGGCCGCCATCGGAGAGGGGGCCATCAAAACGGAAGAGCCCGAGGGACTCCGCGAGGACTGCAGGCTGGGCGTGGAGGCCGCGTCCAATGGCCTGGTCCACGGCAGCAAGGAGGTCATCCTGGCCCAGCCGTCCAGCGCTTTTGGGCCGCACCAGCAAGACCTTAGGCTCCCTGTGACCCTCCACACTGTCCCCCCCGGGGCCCGGATCCAGTTTCAGGGCCCGCCACCACCTGAGCTGATCCGGCTGACCAAGGTCCCCCTGACACCAGTGCCTATTAAAATGCAGTCCTTACTGGAGCCGTCGGTAAAAATCGAGACCAAGGATGTCCCGCTCACGGTGCTGCCCTCAGATGCAGGTAGTGGACCGCAGGGAGAGCGGGTCTTGCAAACCTCGCCCGGGTTGTCCCCGGCTCAGAAGCCCAAAGTGGGGAAATGAGCCGCGGAACCGCTTGTCCCTGTGCACAGGTGTCCCTTGCATGGGCTTGTGCGCGCCGGTGACCTACACGCAGCCTGCACCCCCACCCCGAGTCCCACGGCCTAAAGCATCCAGGGTTCTGGGGACCAGAAAGCAGGGAGCCGTAGGAACCTAACTTTGAGACATGAAAGTAGGGGTGGCTTGCTATAGACAACACAAAGCCCGCAGCTTACGTGCTTCGAATAACCACGTGAAATTCCCCATTGGGCAGCTCTGTACTTCTGTGTGGCTCAAGAAAAAGAAAAAACTGGTGTTTCATGAAAAAAAAAAAAGGTTACCGTTAAACAGCCAAGTATAGGATTATAGAGGTTGCCTTTAAAAACGAACAGTAAACGTTTTTCTAGAAGAAAGCAATATATCATTGCATGTAACATTTTGGTATTTATTCTAAAAGCTAATTTTGTAGGAGTATTGAAAAGGAAATTCACTGGAATATAGGCTACCAGAATTGTTTTTAAAGAAACGATTATTGTTAGTAACAAGTACAAATATTTTGTTTCTTTTCCAGGATTTCTGACTATACAGTTAGCAAGTTTTTAAAAATTTCATTCAGACAGAATGCTGTATCAGTGACTGCCTTGGAAAGTCATATTGACCTTCATATTTTTGTGAAATTTTATGTTTATTTTGTATTTTCTTTACTGATTCTTCCTACTCACCCTACCCCATCTTGCTTTTTACCTTCATAAGTTTTTACACTTTGTTTGCATTTTCAAAAGAAAATACTAGGAAAGCTTTCTTCTCTTTCTGTACTAGTCAGGTGCTCTACCAGGAAAGCTCTGTATACTAAATATTTTAGCATTTGTAAGTTTTGGAAAATTTTATGTATTCAGCAACTCTAAATATAAGCAGCATAAGTTTATAGGTGGTGTTTTTATGACGTGCATAGATTGGTTCATTCAACCAACTTCCTTTATAGTAGTTTCAGCTGGTTCTGTGACTCTCAAGAAACCACTTTTATTGTTTTTCTCCCAGGACGCCAGAGTAGGGTTGATGACTCACTTTGTCAGGAGTTTTCCCTTCGTGGTGAAATACAACTAATGGAGTGTTGTAAATACTTCTGCCTTAAAGAACACTACAGCAGCCTGTAAATGAGTTCCTTTACACATTTACATAACACTTAGTGCTGCTGGGCTAAGAGTCTTAAGTCATGGTTCTTGCTCCTAATGGTAGAATATTTTTGGTGGGAAATAAACTTAACGTTGGTTATTGTTAGAGGTCTTAATAAAGCTATGGAAATAATAAGCCGGCAGCTTACTGTGCTAGCTTCAACTGTATTCTCACTGGGAGTCATTCTAAGCTGAAGTTTGGATGCTGAGTTTAGGGTTTTATAAGGAATTCTGGGATACTGGCAGTACTCTGGCTATATTGAAGTGTATATTTTCTTCAAATACTTAAAACATAAGTATAGATGAAGGTGCACTTCACTTTAAAATGTGTGTGTGTGTGTCACATTAATTTAGTCTTTTAATTTTTATCATGTAGGAATACCAGATACGCCCTTCAGTAAGGACAGAAATGGCCACGTGAAGCGGCCCATGAATGCATTTATGGTTTGGGCAAGGATCCACCGGCCAGCACTAGCCAAAGCTAACCCAGCAGCCAACAATGCAGAAATCAGTGTCCAGCTTGGGTTAGAGTGGAACAAACTTAGTGAAGAACAAAAGAAACCTTATTATGATGAAGCACAAAAGATTAAAGAAAAGCACAGAGAGGAATTTCCTGGTAATCAAACAAAACCAACAAAGCTTCTTTCTAATTTCTTTTAAACTTATTTAGGTAAAGATTAAGTTAGGTGAAGATTGAAAGACAAAAATGCATATTTTTTTCCTAATGTGATAATGTGTAAGAGTATACTGACTAACCTTGGGGTTATTATTCATTTGATAATGGGGATAAGTTTCCTTCAGTAGAAACGAGTTGGGGGCTATCTGGTCTCATACCAACTAATGCAGTCCAGGGGACATACATTTTTACTGTAGATTGATTAAGTTGTATAAATACAGATATAAATTTAATGAAGGTGAATCTCCATATTTCTAGGGTATAATTTTTGCAAATATACCGGACATAGTAAAATCATGGCAACAAAAATTTGAAGTGCACGCTTCAAGGTAATGAGAATGCAGGGGTTAGCAACACACTCCATTTTAATATGTGGTTATCGGAGATTACTCTTGCCTTCTGATTGTTAGGTTTGTTCCCATCATAAGACCTGAAGTGAGTCTGATTCCTTCCCAGCATGAAGGACACTGTGATTAAGCTTGGAAAAATGGACAGTGTATGGCTAACATAAGTAGACATGATGGGAAAAGAGCTACTTTTTTTCTGAAATATGAGCAGAATTTTTAGGAAGGAAGATCAGAGGTAGCAAATAAAGAGAACAGTGATTCTTTCAGTTATATGGTAGCTCCAACTGCCACAACTCCTCTCTTCTGACTTTGGAAGGAAATTGGGTTGTTTGTGGTGTTGGAGATTGCCAAGTTTAGGGAGAGTGACTTTCTGAACTAGCATAAAAATAGTGACTGGTTATTGGTGACTGTTGCATTGTAAGATACAGGCAATTGAATCTTATAGAAAGTAAGGAAACAGAGATGAAAACTACCTTACTGGGGCATTCTTTTATAGGTAGAGGAAAGGCTTTGGGATTCCAGTGCATTGACTTTGATCAAGTTCCGCTACAGATTCAGTCTGTGTTCTGAACATAGACATTTGGCCTTCCTCTTTCAGTTATGGGTTACAGAATGGACAACTACTTAGACACTGTATGGACATTTATGTTAAGATGCACAGAGGAAGAGCAAGTCACAGAAATAGTATCATGGCTCTGGGACATAGTCTTTAGACAATAACATGAAAACCATAACTACAGTCTATACACTTATTTAAAAAGCCTGTCTTTTTCTATAGGTTGGGTTTATCAGCCTCGTCCAGGGAAGCGGAAACGCTTTCCTCTAAGTGTTTCCAATGTATTTTCTGGTACCTCACAGAATATTATCTCTGCAAATCCTACAACAATTTATCCTTATCGCTCACCCACCTACTCAGTGGTAATTCCCAGCCTACAGAACACCATCACTCATCCAGTTGGTGAGTTGACTGTACGGTACATTTTCTATTTTTTAAATAGCTGCCGGAAAATCTGCCTCTTACGCTGAAATTTTGTTTTCAAAATTAAGAGTTTAGAATAGCAATATTTGGGGGGAAAATCAAGAAGAGAGAAAATGAGAACATTAAATAGGAGAAGGAAAATTTTCAGTAGACACCCAAGCACTTATCCATGTGTAAAATCTCAGGCATGTAAGCAAGTCAGGGTTAGCAGATGCAGCAGACAGTGCAGGAAGTGGCTGGTGCAATTCAGTAGGAAACAGGAGCGTCTTTACTCTCAGCGTGAAAGAGCACCTTCCTGATGGGCTGAGGCTTCCTGCCCTGGAACGCAGAAATGGTAACTGGCCTGTTGAAATCATGCTCCTGGTGCTCTAGAAAAGCAGTGGAGGTTACCCAGTTTCCACCAGATACTCATTTGGCTCACTGTGTGTCTCTTTCACATTTTTTCCTCTGCTAATGGTTCTTCACAACATTCTTGTCTGCTGATTATAGGGATCCAAAGCTGAGAGCCTCATGTCTTCATGTAGGGCTGTTCATCTCCTAGAGGAAGCTTAATCCATCCACTGCTTGTTACCACTTCTCTTACCACTAAAGACAAATAACAATACTTAAAATTCCCAGTTCTTACTTGCTCAGATCCTCCTGATTAAAAAGCAAACTGCCCCTATGAGTGGAGAAGTTTAGATGTCTTAGAAATTGACTTGCTAGAATATCATTCATTTCAGTGTTGTTAATAATGTATCATGTAAGCAATTGATAGCCACAAAACTACACTGAAAAATGTCTGGCTCAAGTGAAAGATGCAAGAAGATGATCTGTAGCCCCGTTCTGCCTGCACTATTTGGTATGGTAGTATTGCCCCAAAGCCTGTATTTCAAACTAGGCTTAGTTGTTCTTCCTTTTCTTGTTTTTGTGCTGTTACTTATGATTCCTGTCTTCATAATATGTGTGTCTTCTTTTTACCCCCCTTTTCAAGACTTCTCAAATCTGCTCTGTCACTGTTAAATGCTCGGTGTCTCCTCAGGAACAGATTTATCCTTGTTCTTACTTGAAACAGTTCAGATTTTATACAATATGTTAATTTTATGCCATTTTGTACAAAGGTATGAAACTGGAAGATTATCTTCTGATATTAGTAGGGCTCTTATATCTTGATATGTGTAAGTATGGTGGGCAGAATTACAGGAAGCATTTCAGAACCATTCACAACAGTAACCAAGGACAATGATTTTTTTGTTGTCTTTTAAAAAAAAAAAAATCCCAATTTCTAATGAGAAGTACAGACAGTACAGATTCCTTTCTTGTATCTCAAATGATAAGCATAAAACATTATTTTATAATTTTCATCTTCTGTATAGTCCAGTACAACCCTGAAATATGTTTAATTTGTCCTTATCAGCTTGGCATTATATAACTTAGAAGAGTTAGTATACACTTGTAAATTTGGAAATTTTGCTGCCTATTTCATGGCAGTACTGCCTATTTCTTCTATAAAATGAGTAAATAATAGCAAATTATAGCAAAAATTGCTTGAGGAATCATAGTTTTAATTTCTTAGCATAAGTAGATTCTAATTTTTTTGCCTTTTTTTCAACTAATTTTCTAAATATGAAGTCAGGATAATTTTGTTTTTCAAGCATTTTTGTTTTATTCCCATGGAGGAAAGCTATCAAGATAGTGAAGCATGATTTTCCACTTAAAAATAATATATTCTTTTTTATAGCAAGTTTTGTGCATTTAGTTTGACACTGTATAGATTTGACTAGCTTTTCAGTTGTAGGAAATAGACTGACCAAGCTAGAGTGCTCAAGGTCATCACTTCCAATAGCTAGCAATAATGCCAATTTTCCAGAATGTTCAGACGGAGACCATTTATCTACTTTATCTAGTATTTCCTAAGTTTCACTTTTGAGTTTCTCTACAATTCTAATACCTCTATGTAAGATCTCTTTTTTTGCTTATTTTTGTCAGTTTGAATTAAAACATCCCTTGGATTTGTCACTATATAATAGTTAAGCTAACATTCTTCAACTATCTCCCATGAAAACTATCTGCTAAGAAATTTTCTCAAGGCCTTCTTTAGTAGGCAGGCCTTTGTTGAGTCTCTGTTGTATTTTCAGTTGCCTTTTAAAAACACAATGACTAAGTACTTGTGATTTCTTTTTTCTTATGAAGTTGGTTTTTTGAACTTGGGGCCTCAGGTGCTCTACCATATAAGCCACACATAAAGTATTTAAAAAGTCAATGAGAATTGACTTTGTGGTCTTTCAGCTCCCTCAGTTTTCCTTTGGGCTGCCTAATTTTTATTTGCATCTAATTTACAGCATTTGACCTTTTTATATATTATATGTATTATTTTATTTATTTGGACAAGCTTTTGATGGGTTCTGTTTGATTTAGCCTGTTAGCCATAATAATTTTCTGATTTTAGGGCACATTTTTTTTCTTTGCTTTTAGCATTATCATGTAAAATAACCATTATTCTATACCTTTTTTTTTTTTTGGTTATCCTTATCCTTCTTCCCCCAGCCAATTTTTGTGTTCCAGAACTTGACTATTTCTAGGGTAGATTCTTTTTTTTGTCTTTTCTCATTAGGAAGGTATTTCATTTTAGAAATGTGCTTATACTGCCTAATATTTTATACACCTAATCCATGGATTTTCTAGTAATCTTTTTTTCCATTGTTTTGGCTCTGTCTTATTTTGTATTGTATATTCTACTAAGCCTGTTGTAATAAGCCATCTTTTGCCCTCTGCCAAATCTTCCAAGCACACATCTATCCCATTAAGATACAAAATCTCTTGGAACACTGGAAGTCTAATTTAGTGTCCTCCTCATGTCAGTGAATTTTTCTCTCTCAGATGTCTTTGGGTAAATTCCAGTGCCACATTTTCATGCCTGCCTGCCTGCCCCTCCACGGCCTAATGTTTACTCAGTGCCTGTGATGGGCCAAGCTGTGAGCTGGGGACAAAATAGAAAGGTGCTTTTATAGTTTCTGGTGTCAAAGACCTCCTAATGTATTTGTAGAAATGGTCGATAGAAATAAAACTGATTTTACTACTTCCTTGACAGAATCTTTAACCATTTTCTTGCTGTTTTTCCGCCTAATACATTATTTACTCTCATTTCTCATACTTAATGCCATACTCCAGACTATTTTTCTGTTCCTAGTTTCTGAAGTGTTTCTTTTAGCAAAGCAGTCCCAAATTCTCGTTGGGCAGACATTATCAGATGTCTCAGTTGCCAGTTATACCAGCATCCTCATATTGTGTTAGGATTCAGACTCTGTTAAAAGCCCTGGAACTTTCGCAGAAGCATATTCATTTTACTCTGGGTTTTCAGGGCCACTTAGTGCAGACATGAAATTGTCTGATTATTGTGTTCTCTACATTTTATTTATTAAGCCTGGAATTGGTTTTCTTTATTTTATCTCAACTCCGTTGATATCTTTCACTCTTCAGAATTTATACATTTTCTCTAAATTTTTAATTTAAAAGTGTTTACTTCTATTTAAATTTTTTGGTAGTAGACAATATGGCATTTTAGTTTATCTAGTAATTCTTGCTTGAAAAGAACAAAAGAAAACAAATTTCTATGATACTAATACTATTATAATCCAAAAAAAAAAAAAAATAAGTTGGTTTGTCATGCACTAGTGAAGCCTAGCTACATGGGAGGGAGATTGGGAGGATTGCAGTTCAAGGCCAACCCAAGCAAATAGTTCGTGAGACCCTATCGCCAAATAACCAGGGCAAAATGCACTGAGAGTATGGCTCAAGTGGTAGAGCGCCTGTTTTGCAAGTGTGAAGCTCTGAGTTTAAACCCCAGTCCCATCTTTAAAAAAGTTGATTTACTTGTCTAGCCCTTAAGGTTTGTTCCAGCAAAGTGTTATATCCATAAGTAACTTACATTGAACTAATAAATTTCTTGAAAAGTGATACAATTCTTTAAGTTTCTTGAGGAGACAAAGTCTCAATGCAAAGTCATCTTGGATTTCTCATCATTTTCCTCTCTCTCCAGAGTCCTACTTTTCTTAGCAATGGCCTAGATATTCTTCCCAATTCTCCATCTGTCTGTCTTTATTCTCTCACTCTCTCCTCAGCCACATGCTAGCTTACCTCTCCTTATAACCTCCATAAAGCTTTTTCTTATAGAAAAAAGTGATCTGTCCTCAAGTTTCTGCCATTCCCCACTCCTTCAGTTTGTCCCGGTCACAGAACAAAAGCTTTGTTGCACCATACGTCCAGTCTGCACGTGCAGTGGCTTCTTCCTTTTTGGGGGTGGATGGCAGGAGATAAACAGGAATTATTTAAAACTGTATTTTTTTGTTTTTGTGTTCTTGCACTATGTCATAGAACTGAAATTCACTTCATGTGATGATTAGTAACACTAGCTGCATTAACAAGCTCTAAATAGAATGGCTTAAACACAGACCTTTTCTTTTACTCGTGTAAAATCCAAAATGGGTGTTTTCTGCTTGATAAATACAGCCCTGTTCCAAAAAGTAATTCTTGGACCCAGGCTGCTTCTGCCCTATAGCTCTGTCATCTTTAATAGATGTCATCAAAAGCCGCTGGACTGGTGTGCATGAACCTGCAGAAGGGGAGAGAAATTGGAGGATCTTGTGTGAGTGGCTTTTTAGGCCAGCCTAAGAGGGCTGGACATTGCTTTTGCTTATATGCTGATAGGTAGCTCTTAGTTACATGGTCACTCCCAACTGCAAGGGAGGCTGGGAAATAAAATCTAGCTCTGTGCTAGAAGAATAGGAAACAAGTGGCCAGTTTCTGCCAACCTTATCTACAGTTTGATTCATTAGAGCGATGCCTTTTTCACAAGTCTTCCCTATCACTGACACTTTATCAGAGCTGGCTGAATGTTGCAGATTTTCCCCAGTTTAGCAGACTGAATTTGATTTTTAGTATATCATACTTCAATATAATGCTGTATGTAATTTTTTACTTTAAACCAAATTAGTTCTTGGCCCAGGTTAGTTCCAATGATTGTTGGATTAAATGAATGTGTGACTATTACTCCGTGCCTCGTTTTCAGCTCTTCTTTTTATAGAACTGTCTTGGTGGAAAGAGCATTTGGTAAAGATGTGTGCTTCCTTCCTCAGTAATGGAAACTCGACCAGTGGTTCGGTACCGCTCTTAACTTACTTTTCTTCTGCCTAGAAAGACCATTCTTCTTTACTGAGAGCTAAGAGCTGCTTGTACAAGTATAGAAAAAAAATTGGCATTAGAGGTAGATTTAGGGGTTGAGTATGATAATAATGAAATTAATAAAAATTTGAGAGATTTTACACATTATTTCTGGCCTTATAGTTGTTTAGAGGATCTCTTATACCAAATCAGCATAGAAGTACCATCAGCTACAGGCTGAATTGTTAGTTTGTTCTTTCATCCATTTAGACCTTTCTTAACTAGCTTTTTATTAATGAGGTTCTGCACTAAATGCTGAGCATAAAATATTTCCTGTTCTTAAGTTCCCAGCTTGCTGATTGTGGTAAGGGTAGCAGACATGCAAATAATTACAAGGACTTACAGTGTTTTAGATTACAAGGTTTGGAGGGAAGTTACCTGTGCTTGAAATCAGGAAAGACCTCAACATTGAGGGCCTGCACCTTACAGGTGGGAGGGCTAATCCCTGTGACCGCACCATCTGAGAACAAGAACAGTTTCATTTATGCCCTGTGGCTCTACTTCATTGAGTCACAGATCAACTTGAAGCAGATGTATGTGTCCCTTCGTTTCCCGCCTCCAAGTTTAGAAGGGACGTTATCTGCCTTAAGAGAGGAGGAAGGAGGGGAGGTCTTACCTGGGTATGGCGGAAAGCAGATCCACATTTCATTTGGCCTCTGACAGAGACATGTCTAACTGCAGCGTCTGTTCTCAGACTGCATGGTCTTTATTATAAACACCTAACTTCCTTGGGAGAGACTGGACATGACTCTATTGCTGACTTATATATTTCATCAGGGAAGTTTAGTTAAACTTAATCTAATATGTCATTAGGATAATGCAGCAACTCAATCAGCAGTCGTGTTTTCTTCAGGAACAGAAATACAAAATTGTTTATCTACTTTAAAAATTCTGCCATATCCGTCATGCCCTGCTATTATAGTATTTTTCTCATATCTGTCACAAATGATAGACCTGTGATATGTCTTATACTTACTTGGAAATTTCCTTCTGTATTTACATACAATGCAATGGAGTGAAACGATTTTTTTAGTTAAGTTTTTTTCAACTAAAAAAGTCATTAAATAATACACAAAATGAAAGAAAAATGATTTATACTACTATTCCGAAATCCCTATTAGCATTAAAAATAAAATTCATAAATTTTAGATTAATACAAAATTCATATAGTACAAAATTAAATCTAGCTTTTCCTACTGCCCACCTGTCCTGTCCCTATCCTAGATAGCCACTCTGTAAAACTAAGTAATTATCGTCAATAATTTCGTATTTATTCCTGATGTAAAAATTTATGTATGTATACCAACATTTGTATATATTCATTCTTTAATTCGCCAGTCAATAATTTTATTCATTTGTTTATTCATCTGAAAAAAATTGTTGAGGGTCTATTCTGTGCCAGTCAGGACTCTGCATAGGGGTACAATAGTGAACAAAATAGAAAAGATCTCTCTTCTAATGGCACTTACAGTCTAGTTGGGAAAGGGAGACAAAAATGTAATAAACATGAAGTTGTAATGACTTCAGTCTGCTCAAAATACTATAAAGAAAGAACGCTGGTTTTATGTGATGATGATATTCGGTAAGGTGGTTAGTGAAGGCCCGTGCTTAAACAGTGCATTAAGTTTTACTGCAAACAGAAAACCATGTAGTGATCCAACTAGTGCTTGACCTGTGCTATTTTATTTCTAAAGGTGAAGCCACACCTGCCATCCAGCTGCCCACACCTACAGTCCAGCGCCCAAGCCCCATCACACTTTTCCAACCCAGCGTCTCCAATACTGCCCAGGTGACCGTCCAGGCTCCAAGTCTACCACTCCGCCCAGCACTCCCTCCTCAGCGCTTTGCTGGGCCTTCCCAAACTGACACTCATCGGCTGCCTTCTGGAGCCAATCACTCTGTTAAGAGACCCACTCCTGTCTCTCTGGAGAACACCAGCAGGATTCCAACTAGTGCAAGTACTGTCCATGCCAGATTTGCAACCTCAACCATCCAGCCTCCCACGGAGTATTCCAGCGTTTCCACTTGTCCCAGAAGTGGTCCAATCCCCCAGGCGCCTCCCATTCCACACTCACATGTCTACCAGCCCCCTCCCCTGGGCCATCCAGCCACGCTGTTTGGAACACCACCACGGTTCTCGTTTCATCACCCTTACTTCCTTCCTGGACCTCACTACTTCCCATCAAGGTAAATGAACAGTTTTCCTTTCATCTAAAAATACAGCTAATGAATTTTTATTTCTGAAGAATCTCTCTCTCTCTCTCTCTCTCTCTCTCTCTCTCTCTCTCTCTCTCTCTCTCTCTCTCTCTCTCTCCCTCCCTAACTGAGAAAGGGAATTTCCTTTTTCAGTTTGGAAGCTAGTTTAGAGGTTATATAGGAGCCAAGCAAACATTAATGAGTTGGTGGGGGTCATATGAGGACTGGGGGAGCTAGAAAAAGTGCATGTTCCATCTATTGAGTGTTACAACTCCTCTCCAGCCAACTCTCCACATGAGAATCTGGGCTCCAATGTTGTCAGTGATGATTTTTCATAGGACACAGCTATAACTTAAGATCATGTAGTCAAATCCCTTTATCATATAAAACCGTGCTTCTCAAACTTAATGTGTCCATAAATCATGTGACGTTTTGTTAAAATGCAGATCCCACTTCATTAGGTTTGGTATCTAATAGAATCCTGTGCCAGGGCATAGTTTGCCCTATATTCTGCTTCTCTAAGAAGCTCCCACGTGATGACAGTTCAGCTGGTGTGTACACCATGTTTTGAATAACAAGGGTACAGAGGAAGGCTTTTTCAGTCTGAGAGAGCTTAAATGACTACTTCAAAGTATACATCCTCTTCCAGATTTTGCCAAACCAGACAATTTCCCATGTAAATTACCAATAAAAAACTGATTTTCATAGGGAAGTATCTTGGGAAAACATAACATCATTTTGGAGTGATAGAATTCAACACCCTTTGCAAGCATTCTGAGAGACTGGTAATAACCTCTACTTTTTGGCTGGTGTGTTCATGGAGTGTTAAGTATTTACATCAATCTTCTATCTTCTATTGTTATTTAGAAAGTAAAATGACTCCCCACTTGGGTATACTCACTCCTCAAAGGAAACAACTTTTGAGGATACTTTATGTTGCTTCAGTTCATAATGGGATTGCTTGCTTTCAAATACTTAAACTCAGCACTGGGAGAAAAGTGGAACTAGAAGGTTAGAATAGGAGAAAGGAGTTTGCAATCCGAGGGTTTTTGTTTTGATTTTATGTAAGCTTATTTTTATCTTTAGCAGCTTTCAGGAGCCTTTTAGTTCAAGTCAAGCTTCAGAAGACTTCTAAAGCCAAAGGTTGAGAATCTTTCTCTTTGCTATCTGCCAGGATCTAGGATTTCATAGGAATTTTGGGGAATTTTGTTTTCCAGCTGTAAGAAGAATACTAAAGGCATAATGGAATTTAATAAATGAGTGGATTTGGGAACACTTGTCTCTAGTTAGAACCTTGAGGTTTATACCTAACATTGCAGAAATTGTATTTATTACATAATTCATTTTGTAATACAGGAAAGGCTTGGACAGTTCCACTCAGAGGAGAGGACAAAATGCCAGCCAGAAAAGGCTATGTTCTACAATCTCATTTCAGCTGCTGTTGTTTTTGTTTGTTTGTTTGTTTGTATTTTCCCTATTTTTTAGTGTTTTGAGAGAGATGCATTTTACATATATTTTTCACAACAATCCAGTGACTTGGTATAATACCACCCCTGCTTTTCCAGATAAATTTGTCAGGTGTTGAATAGCTTTGTCAAGGTCACACAAAATGGCAGCACCAACAGTCACACTGACATTTGTTTGATCTGGAACTCTACATATAAACTTCCTCAATGAAACTCCTCAGTGTAATGACTCATCCTGATTGGCAGCTATTAGTTCTCGCAGAGAATCAGGCCGAAAATAGGTACTTTTGAGTGGAGTGTTTCCTTTATATTAGACAGATTAAGTAATTAAATCTATAATTTAGTTAATTAAGTGACAAGGCTTACAGGATTTCACCATTAATGTACAAATCATCTGATACTTTAAAGAACATTTTATGAGGAAAATTTTCAAAATAAGTTCTTAGAATACAGAAGCTACCCTTTTTTCCTTGACACTGTTATTAGTGATTAATAATAATACTATGGGAAGCATCAACTGAAGTAAATAAATAGTATTATACTTATTAAAAATGAATTTTATTTCATTTAGGAATGTCAAAGCAATAACTGCTAACTATAAGCATTAAGCTACATGTAGTTTTCCTAAAAGGAAGAATAGCTTTATAAGTGAAAATTTATAATACTTCACAATTATTTTTCTGACTTTTACTGTATGTGTCTGATGATAATTTCCCCCCAGGCAATGGGTTTATGCTTGTCTACATAGTATATTTCAGTAAAATCTAGTGTGGGTAAAAAAACTGATTCTTTGCTTTTTTCTTCTCCAAATTAATAATAGGATCTTCTCTAAAGAATATTTCTTTTCTAGCCTTACTCATTTATAAGTGGGGTTATTCAATTATTTCAGGAACATAATTATAATGGACATTTGCGATATAGCGGTAAATATTTTTATATATTTATTTTATGTGTTACTTATGTTTTACATATATATATATACATATATATACATGTATATATATATATATATATATTTTTTTTTTTTTGCTGAACAGGCCATTACCCCATGTGTATCTGGATTAAAAATCAAGCAGGTTAGGAAGTTTAATCAAGGAATCAGTCTGTAAAACAGAGGGACACAGAAGTGCAGATAATTCTAAGAGGGCTAATCTTCCTGCATTAAATTCATAGCCATCATTATACTTGTTCCTATTGAAGCCCTCTTTTTCTGTATAATACATTAATTCCTTAGACTAGCTCTTTTCTATTCACTCCTTCTTTTTCCTTCTTCCAATATATTTTTACTTTCACATTCAAGAGAGAGATATAGAATCATTTTGATCATTGAGTAAAAAATATGTTAAAATCCATTGCAAATTAGGGATGTAAAAACAATACAAAAGATAAATGGGGATTTATTAGTTCAAAATGGAAAATATTCTCAGATATGTATGTAGAGTAGGGAAGATATGGCCAAAATATTCTTGGATTTATAGGAATGGATAAGCATTCTAATTTTGAAATTTTAGGCAGAATAACTACATGTTAAAAGTAATCACCTTAACATTTGTTTGAGTCATAGATTCATTTAAGAATTTGATTGAAATTATGGAATCTCCCCGTAATTACATCTATATACATATGCAAACTTTTGCCTGAACTTTTCTGGATGAAGGAAACTTATAGTCCCAAAATATAAGTAGTTAACATAGAATACTTTCTGTATTAACTACCTAGAAATGCTGGATTTAAATATGAACTAAAACCAAACCTTTCGATAAGCCAGGACCCTGGCAGATATTTACAACTTAGATAAAAGAAATATCAGTGACTGATAAAGCACAAAGAGATGATTGTTTTACCCAGGGTTCTATGTGATTTCCACTAGAGAGTAAACCCTAAGATATAATATACCTTAAAATCAGTGTACACATTGGCTGTGGGCCGGTGATTACCTGGGGTAGCTGCTTTAAGGAATACTTCTACCACCAGGCTATTTGCAGATTCCAGAAGGGGGAGTGGTCAGAGCATGAGGAAGGGATTCATTAAGAATTAAGAGTTTATAAACCTGAAAAATAGGGGAATTAATATCCCAAAGAATTTGAGATAATTAAAAATCAGGAAGAAACTGAAAATCAGTATTTCAAACCATTAAAGAAGATATGTTCCAACCAAAGTTCAGTAATAAGGACTGGATTCACCTTTCATCTGAAACAACAAAAAAAGTACACAAAATATGTGTTTTTCAAGATGCTGAACATCAGGCAATGAAGGACAGTGATCTCCAAGAGACAGAAAACAAATGAAGCAAGCCTGGAGAAAGAGGAGGGTATCAGTATCCAGATTGTCAAAGTATGTTACTCAAAATGTCCTTATGAGACATGCCAAGGAACAGGAAAATGTGACCCATTCAAAGAAACAAAAAAGTTGGATGTGATACTTCATGCCTGTAATCCCAGCACTTGGGTGCCTGAGGCAGGAAAATCACAAGTTTAAAGTCAGTCTGGCCTACATAGCAAGCTCCAGACCAGCTTGAGCTGTATAGTGAAACCCTATCTCTAAATAGATAAAAATAGGCAACAGACACTGCTTGTGAGTGGGCCAAGTGTTGAATTTGACAGACTTCAAGGCTAAAGGAAATCATGCTTAAAGATACAAAGAAAATTACAATTACGATGTTTCATTAAAGATTCAATGGTGTAGAAATTATAAAAGAAACAAAAATTCTAGAGTTGAATTGAACAATAACTAAAATGAAAAATTTAGTAGATGGGCTCAAGAAGAATTGAACTGGCAGAGATAAGTGAGGAAATTTGAAAGCAGACTCAAGTATTATGCAGTCTGAGAAAAAAGAATGAAGAAAAATGAACAGAGCCTATAAACCACTTTCTGAACATAGCCACCAGCAAGCACAACAATGTGTATATAATAGAAATACCAGAAAGAAAGAAGAGCGTTAGAGGCATGGCTCAGGTGATAGAGTCCCTACTGAGCAAGTACAGTGCGAGGCCCTGAGTTCAAACCCCAGTATCACAAAAAAAGAAGAGAGAAAAAAAGTTGTATAGAAATATTTGAAGGAACAGTGTGTGAAAACTCCCCAATTTGTTGAAAACACTCTCTAAGAAGCTAATGATAAGTAGTATAGCTACAAAGAGATCTACTCCTAAGTACATTACAGTAAAATGCTGAAAGCCAAAATCAAAGGAAATCTTGAAAACATCAAGAGAAAAATGAATCCTCATATACAGAAGAACTCCAAAAAAGCCATAGCTGACTTCTTAGAGGAAACATTGGTGGTAAGAATCCACAGTCAAAGTGGGAAGACTCTTAAATCCAACTGAAGCCCTCATTCAAAAACAAAGAGAAAAATGAAGGCAAAATAAGACAGTCTCAGATAATTAAAGCAGAAAATTCATTGTTATCAAACTTGCCTTGGAAGATATACATGCATGCTTATATATCTATATAGTGATGCTGGGGACTGAAACAAAGTATTTTATATGTCTCTATTAGTGTATTTTAATTATAATATTCATTGTGATA